AGAGAATCTGCGAGATATCGACAGATTTCTTTGTCAGTGAGACCTGGCTGACATCTCGCATGGCGTCTGCATTGGCTCTTCTGCCCGTCATGTCCTCCAGCCCCAGGATCACAGGATGGTGCCCTACTTCGGAGACGATTGACCCATACACACTGCGGCCCAGACGGTCTTCCCACCCGTCTATGATATATGTGAGGTTCTTTCGAGTGGCTAGTCTCCGGATATCTGAATCCAGCACCCGGGACTCTTCACCTGGTAGGTACTTCGTCATAAGGACATATCGGGTGGGAGGGCTATATGATGGCCTGACAATTGCTAAGAATTGGTCAAAATAATGATTCTCGGCAGCGCGGAAGGATGTGTTGGTGTGAATAATGAAGCTTGCATGAGAGTTTAGATGTGCATGCACCATTGCAACGGATCTGGCTTACCGAAGAAAGCGCAGATTGGCTTCATCTTCCTCCGCCTGTGTCATTGCTCGGTCCACAAACTGATCCATGGCTCCACTGTCTACCTTCCTCTTCTTCCCGCTGACCTGAACCTGTGAATCAACATCGACAGGGCTGTCGACAGAGCCAGTGCCTAGTACAGGATGTTCCTCCATGCCTGCCCTCTTCATAAGGATCCTCAAAGCTTCAGCCCTGACTTTGTCCGGTGCATTAGGGCATAGTCCTGCCTTCGAGAGATGAATGACAGGTCGTTTGTCACGGTTCTCAATATCTTGTGGATCATCACAGTACTCGCACTGCACAATCCACCGTTTCTGCTTCTCTAGACGCCTGATTTTATGGAAGTGTTCCATAGTAAAGGCATCTTCAGGACGACCTCCTGGGGCTGCCATATCGTAAATGGGTCGGATGAAGAGAGTAAAGTAGACAGGTATTTTCAAAATGTACATTTGTAACCTATGACGACTACCGATACGGGTTCTTTCGGCGTTGAGTATCGCCAGGTCTCGCCATCAGTTTCGGGCCGACGATTTTCGCCACTTGGCGATCGCTGGGTGGCGATCGCCAGGTGGCGAATTGGCGGACTTGTGCCAACCACACTACCTGCCCCCCTTCTCGGACAGCACTACACGAGGGCCAAATACGCTTGGGATCATGTAGAAGCCTCTCTACTCCCCACATCAAGAGCCGCTCATGATAGGTTGTATCCGAGACCGCGTCACAAGTTACTACGTCGGGCCCGCCAAGTTCACAAACCCGCTGCCCTTCGCCCTCACGCGCAGAGGAGACACCGACCCGGGACAGTACGTGCTGGTGCTTGCGGCGGGCTCGTACATCCCCGGAGCTCGATACCTTGCTATCCTCAACTCCACGTCGCCCGCCGAGCTTTCTCAGGACGGAAGGCCGCTGTTATGGGTCGTGCCAGAAGTAGAGATGACGCCGTCGCAAATGCCCGGCAGCACGCTCGACGAGCTGCTCGCCATCACCTACCAAAGCCCGCCGCTGCGCTTGACGGGCGGCATGCGCCTGGACGCGCGTGCAGCGCGGGGACGGGCGTTGCAGGCCGAACTTCTCCTCAAAGAGGACGAGTTGCTCCGGGTGTGCTGCCACTGCGGCAGCTTGGAGAACGGCAACTGGGTCATCTCGGATCAGTTCGAGAGGTGTAGTGGAAGCGGATACAGCTCACTGTATCGATGCGGCAATTGCTCGCACAGAACCTTCGTAGGTCGTGCGCTGGTGGTGCTTGCTCGCAAGATCTCATCGTGGCTCGGGAACCGCCCATGAACGCTGAACGCGCTTCAGAACTCTACCCCGAACTGTCCCGCCTCTGCCCCCCTTGGTAAACTCTCAAAGCCATGCGTTCTCCATGGGTCATTGTACTTGTCTGAAATGATCGAGGGGCTCTTATGCATCGAGGATAACATGGCCCCAGCGAGAGATCGGACACACCGATGCTCTGGAGCATATCGCCCGCATTTCGAGAAGAACAAGATGTAGCGTTTCACGTCGCAGATGCTGATCACCCTGCGCCCCTTAGCCTACCTGCCAATCTTCGCAGTTTCCATGCCTCCTGGCTCGCAATCCGTTCGAGCATTCCATGTATCTGAGCCCATATCCATTCCCGAGCCTGGTACGAGCACCCGATGCTTGTAGATGTCTGTATCAGACCCAGGACATGGGCACAGTCAATGGATTCACGGAGTACTTTGTGGATGACGCCCGACCTTTACGGTCCGGTTCCTAGTCGATTCACCACTCCATCCGCATCTCTGCATATAATATGCATCCCGTACTAGTTCCTGGTTTCTTACTGCATGCTATGGGGCCCGTATACGTCTACTATCAGACAGGGCTGCCGCCAGCACTCCTCGTACAGTTATGGATGTGCTACCCCTATGTCTGTGTCCCTCCTACGTCTGCGATATGCGAAACGCCATATTCGGCTATCTGCTTGACATTCCAACCTGCCTGTCATACACGGATGTCATTGGTTCGTGTTCACCTCGTGAGCCGCAACCCGTTTTGAAGTGCGCCCATGTCGCCTCGCTTTTGTGCATCTTGCCCACTCTGCGCCCCTATGGCTCCCCCGCCCCTGCCCGTAACGACTGCTGAGTCCCCCTCGTCTCCGCGCAAACTCGCTGCTACCACGTCGCTGCCTATCTTGCGAGTCGCGCCACAGAACATTCAGGGGGCTACGACGTCTCCTCGCGGTCTCGACGGTTCTGGGGTCAGACCCGCTGCTACGCATGCCCTCCCTGATCCTAGGGCGCAGGACACGAACATCGAGGTCCACGCTTCACAAGTCTCTGATTCACAGACGTTGCATGATGCTGCGGCGCAAGGCGACACGGATCCCGATCCAGGGGGAGCACAGGACACTGATGAGGTACGCGTACCACAAGCATCCTCTCGTCGACGAATGCTTAGACAGACTTGGCGTTATACCAATCCTTCGAGCTTGCCAACGCCAACGTCCAATACTGGATATTGGACCTTCGTATCGTTCTAGCGGCGTTACCCGGCATGCCTGACGCTCGCGCCCCACCCGTTGCATGCCTCATCCCACCCGTTGCATGTTCGCGCCCCACCCGTTGCATGCCTCATGGACCCCCTGCAGGTGGAGGAGCTCATCAAAATCGTGACCGCTGCCGTCGACATTCTGGCTTGCCCACCGTATCAACGATTTAGACAGTGCATTAGAAACGCCTTACCTTGCCCATTGCGCTTGACTGTCGCTGTAGGTCTGTGTTTCCTTCGAGGATGCTTTTCCCCCCACCCCGCTTTTTTCCCAAGTGGTTTTGCGGGGTGGTCGGGGTTTTTAACGCACTAACGAGGAGCCGGACTTCCACCAGTAAGCTGAAGACGGCTTGCCTAGCATACATTACATAGCACTGTATGTACACATGTACCTAGGACTTTTTCGTGCCGGTGGTGAGACAGTGCGGTCGGCTTCATCAGCTCACGAAAACCGTCGAGCTGCTTGG